GTATGTATGTATGTATGTATATGTTAGTTTAGAAAGGACTAAGGATAAAAGCAAGCACAATGATGAGGTATTCGGTGTGCCTGAATTTGTGTGTGTGTGTGTGTTGGTGTGTTGGTGTTTTGTTGTTGGGGGGTGGGCGGTTCTGTTTGGCCTTCTTTGCAATCTATGTGTGGATGTCTTGAGGTTTAGGGTTTTGGCTTCAGGGTCGAACCCTCAACTCTAAACCCAAAACCCTAAACCCCAAATCCCTAAATCCCTCAACTCAACCCTAAATCCCTAAACCCCTAAACCCCAAAACCCAAAACCCTAAACCCCTAAACCCTAAACCCCTAGCCCCTAAAACCCTTAACCCCCCTTAACCCTAAACCGGTGTTGAAGGTGCTTGGCTCTAAGTCAGGGCTCTCCAAAGTCCCACACTGTCCCCGCTATCCAAACTTGAATGGTTTAGGTTTTAGAGAGTTAGAGGCTTAGGGCTTTTGGGGTTTAAGGATTTAGGGTTTAGGGTTTAGGGCCCTAAACCCTGAACCCTAAACCCTGAACCCTCAACCCTGAACCCTACACCCTGAACTCTGAACCTTGAAGCCGGTTGAGGGTCGAGGGTTTCGGGGTTTAGGGTTTATTAGAATAGGTTTGGGGGTATTATATTATCATAAGGAACCCTAAACCTAAACCCTAAACCCTAAACACTAAACCCTAAGGCCATGCCGTGCAGGCTATGTTGGATGGGTTTCGAGCCTCGGGTCATGTTGCTTCATGCGGTTTAGGGTTTAGGGTTTAGGGTTTAGGGTCATGTCATGGACGTTGCCGCTAAGCCCTGGCCCCAAACCTGTAACGTTTAAAGATCTTCAACGTAAAACAAGGTTTAGGTTTTCGGGTTTAGGGTTTAGGGTTTAGGGTTTAGGGTTTAGCTTTTAGGGTTTAGGGTTTAGGGTTTAGGATTTAGGGTTTAGGGTTTAGGGTTTAGGGATCCTGAAACCCGTAAACGCCCATACACTCCCTCATCTTTTCAAGCCTTAAGCCCTCAAGCCCCTGAGCCCTAAACCGACATGGGGGTTTCCAAAAATAGGGGAGCCTAATATAGCACCCTAAACAGTAGGATCCTTATTCTAAGGACCCCAAAATAAGGTACCCCTCATTTTCGGAAACTCCCATATGGTCATAGGCCCCTCCATCCACAGTAAGCCTGCAGACCGCAGCTTCGGAGACCCTGAACCCCATACACCCGAAACCCAAACCCCTAAAGCTCACTACACACTAAACCCGAACACCCCACAACCCTAAACCTTAAGCCCCAAACCCTAAGTCCTCATCCTAATCCCTATAAGCCCATAACCCCAAATTCTCAACCCCTAAAGCCCTAGAGCCAGGCTACAGCATGCCTGGGGGAGTCACCCCTCCGGGAGGTGCCCTTCAGGTTTGTACTAGAGGAGACAAAGGGGGTCCTGACAGGCTTCTGCAAGGGTTTAGGGTTTATAACAAATTAGGGTTTAGGTTTGGGTTTAGGGTTTAAGAACAAATTAGGGTTTAGGTTTAGGGTTTAGGAGTTTAGGGTTTAGGGGTGTAGGGTTAAAAACAAATTAGGGTTTAGGGTTTAGGGTTTAGGGGTTGGGGTTTAGGGGTTTAGGGGTTAGGGGTTTAGGTCTTAGGGTTTAGGGGTTTAGGGGTTTAGTGTTTAGGGTTTAGGGCTTATAGGGTTTAGGGGTTGAGGGTTTAGGGTTTAGGGGTGGTTGGGGCTTAGGGGCTTCGGGTCTTGGGAGCATTTGGGATCCGAGGGGCGCATAGCGACGGATCGGTCGCTTGGAACCTGGCAGACCCATACCTGGGCGCTTCTGTTCTTTGGTCTTTAACATTGACTTGAAGGCTATAAAAGAACTCTCTCACTATTATATATATATATATATATGGCATAAGCTACAATTAGATATATATATATATATATACACATCATATATATAATCTGTATATATATATATATACATGTATACATATATATATATATATATGTAGAGACTGATCTGTGATATAGATGTTACTTATATTTGCGGTCGTGCGCAGAAGTTGAGTCGTTCCGGTTTAGGGTGTGGCTTTAAGGGTTTACCAATGGGGGCTTCGGGTTGGTTTAGATTAGGACGTAGGGTTAGGGGGACCCTTGGGGATATAGACCCTCTCACTTAGGTCCCTTTTAAGAGAGCCATAAGTAGGGTCCCCTTTTCAGGGGTCTCCCTCATACTACCTAGGATACGTAAACCCCGAACTCCGGGTTCAGGATTTAAAGTTTAGGGCTTTTGGTTTTGGGGCTTAAGGGTTTAACCGTTTAAGGTTTAGGTCAGGGCTTTAGGGTTTAACCGTTTAAGGCTTTAGGTTTAGGGGTTGAGGGTTTCAGGCTTCAGGGTTACGGAGGACTAAACACTACCTGGACACGAGGCTGTAGCACCTTGTTGTGGATAGCCCGGTTCGGATCCTTTTGCAAGAGAACAACACAGTACTACGGATGACTTTACAGTTCGTGGTCTGGGCAACCCCCAAATCGAAGTTTCTAGCCGCTGCAAGGATGTGCACACTTGTGTTGCACATTGCGCCTGTTGACTAGGCAGGTGTTTGTACTTTGCTGTGGACTTTTATAGCACACTTGGCAAGAAGACAGTCGACTTTCTTTGTATACTTACCATAAAACTCTAAACAGAAGCACGAATGCCCCTGCAATACCCTTAGAATACACTTATAGTCACCGTTGTAGTATCTTGTAGTAGCACGCATGGTAACGCTACGCCTTATAGCAACCCTAAACAAAAGGCCCCGCTGGGCAGGGCAACAGTTGCAGAGATGACCTCGCACTCCATCTACCTACAAATCCAAAAATCGAAGTTCTGATTTCGTGTCGATAAAGGGTTTACAGTGTAGGGACTTAGGGACCTCTTTCATGGTTTAGTTTAGACAGTGAAGTCCTGCAGAAATTCAGAACCGCACTAAACCGATGTGACAAAGCCCCACTCCAAACCCTAAGCCCTAATCCCACGCCTTCTCCGTAAGTCTGCTATTCCCCGATCGCCGTTTGTGCATAAACTTTCCCCACAGTACCGATCCCCCGCACATCCCCTGAGTCGTGCGCCGACAGCTGCCGCATACAGCACGAACACGCGGGGGAACACGACGGAGTCTGGCTTTGGAGTTTTGGGTTTCGGGTCTAGGGTTTAGAGTCCTTCAGGGTTTAGGGGTTCCTTTAAGAGGATCTGCAAGGGTTCGATAAGGGACCGATGAGGGTTTGGGGTTTCGGAATGTAGGATTTAGGGCGTTTAGGGTTTGGAACTGTAAGACGATTCATTCTAGGAGCCTTATGATGGGTTCAGGGTTTAGGGTTTCGGGTTAGCCCCCTAACAAGAAGGTACCCCTACTGTTTGGTTTCAACAAGGGAACCCAAAAACAAAAAGGGCAAATGCGTGCTACTGGGGAACCTAGGAATAGGGTGCGGGGTTGATCGTGGTATCTAGGAAATAAGGCTATGACATCACCCAAAACCCCCCAAACCCCATGCCCCAAAACCCCAAGACCCCAAAAAACCCAAGACCCCTAAAACTCAAAACCCAAAAACAAAAAAAAACCTTTACAGTGAGGGTCTCAAGGCTTGGGAGGCTGCGACGCTTTCCAGAACTGTCGGGTTTAGGGTTTGGGGTTTAGGGTTTAGGGGTTTAGGGTTTAGGGTTCAAGGTTAAGGGTTAAGGGTTTAGGGGTTGTGGGTTTAGGGTTTCGGGTTTTGGGGTTTAGGATCGAGTACTCCATCTGCTCCAAGCAGAGCCTCACGATCCCGACCAGCACCGCTGAGTCGTACCTACCTTATGTCGTTCTTCTCCAGTTTAGGTGGACCCCAAAAGTATGCCGAGCAGCTGGCAAAAGCAGACATGCTTCTGTTCGCGTTCCTTCACACCACGCTTTCTGATGCTTTTGTCCGATTTCAGAGGGACGACTTCACCGCATGTGCCTCGACTTCAACCCAGAATGCCTCTTTCGCATCACGATCCTTGTTCAGCGCGGATCCCTAAACCCTGAACCCTACACCCCCTACACCCCAAACCCTCAAACCCGATTCACTTCCACTCAGTGCCCGGTTCCCCTTAGCTCAAGGAAGGAGTTAAAGTCGTCTTTAAACGGGAACCCGGGTAAGATTTGAGGCTCATGTGCTATTCAGAGTTGGTGTTCTGGGAGAAGCTGGGTTTAGGGTTCAGGGGTTTTAAGGATTTTCATAAAGACATGGAACTAAGGAACCCAAAAAGGTGGGTTCCAGGTAAACCCCAAACCCTCTAACAAGGCCTGCTTCTGCTTCGTGCTGAGCATACCTGCATTCAGCTATGCGTGTGGGTGTGTCATGGTGTGTCTGCGCGTGCATGTATGTGCATGTGAATGTGCATGTGCATGTGCATGTGTATGTGTGTGCATGTGGGTATGTGTGTGCGTGTGCATCTAGGTGTATATATATAGAAAAAATGTATGTATGTATGTATGTATGTATGCATGCATGCATGTATGTTTTCTGGATTGTTTGTTTGCATGCATGTATGAACCTACCTATGTAAGTGTGTATGTATGTATGTATGTATGTATGTATGTATGTATGTATGTATGTATTATGTATGTGTGTACCTATGTATGTATATGTACCATACATGCACACATACATACATACATACATACATGCATACATACATACATACATACATACATTCATTCATTCATTCATTCATCCTTACACGCACCCACACACACATGTTTATGTCCAGCGAATCACTGAACCTTTGGAAAACATCGAAATAAATTGACCGCCAAACAACACCGCCCGACGCCCTATGACGCCAAAATAAAGGCTCTCCGCAGATTCTGAGCCCTCACACGGGTATGGCGTCCTTGTACGCCCAGCAACAAAACATACTAGTATATCCAAGAAAAGATGATGGTATCCGAAAACCCGTAAAACCCTACACAATACTCCCCACCCTGAACCCTAAACCACATCCCCGCAGCAAACCCGGAACAATAGAGCCGAAAGCCTTTAAGATTTAAAGGCGCATGAATCTAGTTGAGTGCATGTATGAGTGTATCTACATGTACCTATATAGTCACTATACTTGTTGTTGTGTTTTTGTTTGTCAACTTGTATACTTGCTTACATGTTTGTCTTGTTGGTTCTTCTGTGTATATATATATATATAATGGATTACATGCATGCCTTTGTGATTCTCTGTTTTACTTGCTTAATTGTTTCTACACAGTAGTAGCTACTTCCACTGGACAACCAAAAGCTTGCTAACCCGCCTCAGCTCATGTCCCTTGTTTCTGGAGGAAGTGGTGTCTTGCACTGTGTGTTCCTCCTTCGCGTTGAAAACAATCTGTGGGGATTCAGGAGTTTTTGGCTGACCTCGGCCTTGCAAGGTTGGCTTAAGGGTTTAGGGTTTAAGGTTTACACAGTTACGAATCTAGGTTTATATGGGAGAGGTTGAGAGTTTCCCGGTCTTTCGGAATTTCAGAATTTAGGGGTTGAGGCTTTAGGGTATCGAGGATGGGTGCATGTATCTTGGGGTCTGGGAGCATAGAGGTCTAATTCCTGCACGAGCTTTATGGGGTAGCGCCTATGGCTAACAGGGAGTAAGGTTTTGACTCATGGGGCCTACTTGGGGGATCAAGGGACATAGTAAGCAAGGCTGCTAAGTCCATTGATGTTTTGATTAACCTAAACCATAAACCCTGAACATAGTAAGCAAGCCTACACGTACTTCAACTGTTACTAAGTCCCCTAAACGTTTTTATCCCTAAACTCTAAACCCTAAAACCTTAAAGCCCGAACCCCTAAACCCTGCACGGAAGGGCTGGGGTTCTGGCTTATGTGTATTCGGGGTTATCCAGGCTTTTCGGGCTTAGGGTTGCCCCTGATCGACGATTTAGGGTTCGGGTTTAGGGTTTAGCCTTCCAGGGCTACGGAGTTTATCAAGCCCTAAACCCTAAACCCAAAGCCCCAAACCCCCTAAGCCCTAAACCCTTTAATCCCTAAGCTTAGACTCCAAACCCTAAACCCTTCAATCCTTAACCATAAAACCTAACCCTAAACCCTTTAATCCCGAACCTTAAGCCCTAAACCCTAAGCCCTTTGATCCCCAAGCTTGAACCCTAAACCCTTTGTAATCCCTAACCTGAAAACCCTAAACCCTAAACCCTAAACCCTGAGCCCTAAACCCTAAACCCTAAACCCTAAACCCTAAACCCTAAACCCTAAACCCTAAACCCTAAACCCTTCAATCCCTAACCTTGAAACCTAGAAGGCCTACAGGCCGAAAGCCCATAGGGTTTAGGGTTTAGGGTTTAGGGTTTAGGGTTTAGGGTTTAGGGTCCATTACGGTCCATTGTTAACTGCAACCTTAAACCCTGGAAGCCCAAAGCCTCTCAACCCCGACCGCATCGTAAACCTCCACTGGGTTTAGGGCTTAGGGGTTCAGGATGGTTCAGGGTTTAGGGAATTAGGGTTTAAGGTTTAAGGAGTTTAAGGGTTTTAGGATGGTTTAGGGTTTAGAGGTTGTGGGTTTAGGGCTTAGGGCCACTGCAGCAAGGCTTAGGGCTGCAATCGAAATTGGGTGACCTGTTTTTTAACCTCCCACCTTGTTTTTTGCCCTCCCCCCCCCCCCAGATTTTTAACCCCCTGGCCGGATGTTCTGACCTTGGCCTGTTGCTCTGACCCCCCCGCGTCCCCCCCTCCAACTTGTTGTCTTGTGCCGCCACCTGTTATTATTCTGACCTCCGGAGCCTGCTTTTTCTTGCCGCTGAACCCGGGCTGTCTGGAACAACGCCACCATTGGCCATCCAAGAACTTTTGGGCTCGGCAGCATCTTCGGACGGTGGATTGAAATTTGGAGACTGAAGAGCAGGAGACGGGGGCCTCGGGCCCGGAGACAAATTCTCCTCTTCTTCCTCTTCATTGGGCTTAGGCCCCAACCCGACACTGACCTGCAAACCCTCCAGCCCTTCATCCGGAAGCTAAACCTCCCTACATCCTAAACCCTAGACTCCCATAAACCCCAAAACTAACCCTAAACCCTAAACATCCCTTACAAACCCTAAACCCCTGAACCACCTAAAGCCCGAGACCCTAAGCCCTTTAATTAATAAAACCCCTATGAAATCCTTTAAAAGAATCCAACAGGAACCCGCAAGGGCACCCCCGATTCCGCCTTCAATGCAACTCTACTTGGAGGACAGTCGGACCTAGTAAGTAAGGTTCTAAGTCCCTTATTTGGGTTTTAGGTAAATATAAGTGCAGTTACATTATAGTTATAACCCTACTTACTAAGTCCCATGATCCTGTAAGTAGAGGCCCTACTCCAGAAATGCCTGCGCAGACAGAAGCCTCAAGCTGCAACTGTTAGGGTGTAGGGGTGTAGGGAAAAGGGTTGTGTAGGGGTTTGGGGGTTTGGGGTTTAGGGTTTAGGATTTAGGGGCTCGGGGTTTAGGGGATTAGGGCTTAGGGTTATGGGAACGCCCTAACCTTTCAACTTCTTGAGCTCTTTCTAAACTCCAAAGAAGCTTAAAGCTTCGTAGGTTCTCAGAAACTAACTAAACCCTAAACCCTAAACCCTAAACCCTATAAACCCTATAAACCCTAAAGCCAAAGTTGAACAAACACAGCAGAAAACCTGTCAGAATTGAGGCTACAAGGCGACTGCAGCTCCTCTGCCAACACCCGCGCCATCTTGTCAAAGGTAACTGCCATAAAGTCCTCTCTTCTTCAACAACCAGGCCCAAAGAAGTTCAACCTTTTTAGGATAGACATATAATATATAACCAAACAATTTAAAGTTCTCCTATTCGCAGTCCCAGAGTCTGTGTCCGCGAAGTACGGAATAATGACATTGTCATTGAAGATGGGCCTCGAAGGGGTGCGGTTTCCGAGTTTAGGGTTTTGGTTTCCGCTTGGCGCTTATCGATCTTGAAGTTGAGGAATACGGGTTTGTGAGCTTGGGGCTTATATGGCACTAGCATTCAGAGTTTCATGGCCGTGCTACCATAGCTTGATATCGCGACGGATTGAAGGCCAGGCGAGGGAAGCCTTGAAGAACTATCCTTAAGGACGAAAAGAACCCTAAAAGGGTTTAGGGTTCATATACCATATAGGGATTCATAGTATACTTGTATAGGGCCCCAACTTTTAAGGGTCATTTGGTCCTTAAGGATATACACTTGGTTACTGACCGTCCTTGCCCACGCGCAGAAACATCCCCCCCCTGCATATCTGGACAAGAATACTTGGAGGAACATGGGACTTAGTAAGTAAGGCTATAAGTTATGAGTCCCTTAATTGGGGTTATAAGTATATACAAGTACAGTTACCTTTATTATCCCCCCAATTACTAAGTCCCATGATCCTTTCAGTACTCCGAGCCGTAATCGTGAGCTCGGAGCCGAAAGCTCTTAATCCGAAAAGTATAGGGTTTAGGGTTTAGGGTTCAGGGTTTAGGGTTTAGGGTTCAGGGTTTAGGGTTTAGGGGGCACCCTTGTGAAACCATGGACGGCCCTGAAAAGCCAAAGGACCCAAGAAGTGCGTGCCTATGTTTCGGACAATGGCTATGCAGTTGCTATTTGGGAGAGTACATGATTACTAGGTGCTTGGACCCCTTGGGTAAGAACCCCGAAAACCAACATACTGGGCATAACATGGCTCTCACCTGCCAGCGCTCAGTTGTGGCAGAACCCAGACCTTGCAATATACAGATTAAGAAAATATACATTAAAATTGTAGTCGATCCCTGGTACGATTTAAAGCATATTCCTTCAATCCCTATAGAACCTTTATAGATGCCTTTAAGGAACCCTTTCAGGAATCCTTAAATCTCTATTCCTTAATTAAGATGAGGGATGTTCGAAGGTCTGACCTGGGAAGGCACGACCACGTCTTGCGACGCTGTGTCACTTTGAGGCGCTCGGAGTGCCATGCACCCGCATCCGTCTTTATGCCATGGCAGGCTATGATGTATAGTATACTGTGTTTTACTATAGTAGATCATATAAGACGATACTATAGTATATTATGCTGGATGAAACTAGACGACCAGTATACCATCTTATACCATATTACAACATACTATAAAATCACGTCTTCCTCCGGGAGGTTCATGGCGGAGTAAACAGCCCCAAGGCACCATCGGTCTGGTACTTGTGCCAGAGGCCGTAGAGAACAGCAAACATAGCGTAGAAAGCCGAGGAACCAAACAAGATAAGGATTTAGGGTTTAGGGTATAGGGTTTAGGGTATAGGGGTTAGGGGTTTAGAGTTTAGGGTTTAGGGTACAGCCCTAAAACCATTCCAAAGCACCCGAAAGAATACTAAAGCTTCAAAGAACGAAACCCTAAACACCTCCCGACAGCCTAAAGTCCTAAACCATTGAATTAAACCCTCTACCGTCAGCTCTAAACCCCTGAAAACATAAACCCCAAAGCCCTGAAACCCTTAACCCTGAGCTCTAAACACATATGCCCTAAGCTTCTAAGCCACACAACGCGACCCTAAACACCCACAAAACAAGGCCAGGGAGCTGCAGATCCTCCGGACAGCGCGCGATGAGCTGGTCGATGACTGGGCGATGGCACAGGGCACTTCTGCTACGATTGGAATTATATCTCACGGTTTTGGGTTTAGGGGTTAGGGTTTAGGGGTTTAGGGTTTATGAAAAAGTTTGTCGCTATTGCTAACGAGTTGATGACTGTTGTTGCTGTTATAGCTGTGGTATGCTGTAATACTTAATCGCTATCTGACCTTACCAACATTCAATAGCCCTATTCGGAAAACACCAGCGAGACCGATACCGAGAACAACAGTAGCAACCATCACCATAGTCAGCGCATGCCTGAGCGTCCCACAAGCCGAAAAGGCTCTAAAGCTGGTTAATCTCTAAACCCTCAGTCAGAACTCAAACCTATGCTCTAAACCTCTAAACCCCCAAACTCTCAGCCCCGTAAACCCCGAAGCCCCGAACTCCAAACCCTAAACCCCCAAACCCGGAACTCTTCCCCTGACCCTCAAAGGACTCATATTTCAAGGCATTTGGGCCCCAAGACCCCATTATATGGGTAGTTCTCTAAATCAGGGCCCTTTTTAGGTCCCCAATATAATACGGCACCCCTATAAAACGGACCCTAAAATGGGACCCTAATCTAGAGAACTACCCATATTATGAATTTTTTTGGGAGCTATTTTGATGCTAAGGGTTTGGTCCGTGCCGAAGTGCCCGGCTTGCCCTTCTGCTCATCCGTTTCGCCCAGCAAGATGATGTTCTTGTGGGCTCTCCTCGGGTCTTAGGGGTATTAGGGTTCAGGGTTTAGAGTTTAGGGTTTTAGAGTTTAGGGTTTAGGGTCTTATCCGTCAGGCTCCATTCAGGCATTAAGGGCTCCTTTAAGTGTTTTTTGAAGGGTTCCTTTAAGGGCTCCTTTAAGGGTTCGTTTAAGGGTTCGTTTAAGGGTTCCTTTAAGGGTTCCCTCAAATGTACCATACAAGTTCTATTATTCTATAGCGTATAGGTTGAAGGGTCCAGGTATCCAGATGGAAAGTACCTAAGCCTTAAACAAATCCTCTACAAGTACTTTATGGCCTAATTATAGACCATATAAGTCCATATAAGCACATGGAACCCTGTAGAGGCTTATTACAGTCTTCTTGGCTTTAAAATTGGGGTGACGGTCTCTTATATGGGGTTTCCTGGATTCCTAAACCCTAAACCCTAAACTTTACCTGAACCTACCGAAACCTACTTTGTTGTAGGGCCCCTATAAATTCCATATTGGGGTTTATAATAAGAACCTACAAAACAGTGGGGTTTGGTAGTTTAAGGTAAGGTTCAAGGTTGAAGCTTCACGATGGGTGGGCCCCTAATCCTGCAACACCGAAAGTCAGAGCACAACTCTGTGATCGCAGTCTGGAGGAGTAACTGTTGGACTCATTGTAGCCCGAAGGGGACGGTTTAGGGTTTAGGGTTTAGGGTGTACCGAAATAGTATATACTGTGGCCTTAAAGAGTCCCTATTTGGGCTCTTTAGGGCCAGAGTATCTCCAATTTGGGTACATTGACCCTTAGGGGAAGGGCGTGGGGTTATAAGTAGGGTAACTAGACTTATAACCCATATTCGGGGACTTATAAGCCTACTTATAACTACCCATGAACCTCCAAGTAACGAGTCCCTATTTGGGCTCTTTGGCGCCAAAGTCGGGAGTTTCCGAAAAGGGACCCTAATATAGTACCCTACATAGTAGGATCCTTATTATAAGGACCCCCAAATTAGGTACCCCTTGTTTTCGGAAACTACCAAGTATCTCCGATTTGGACCCTTGCGGTAGGGTCGAAGGCTGAGGCTTCGGGTTGTAGCATGCAGGGTTCGTTCGGCACCTGATTACGGTTTAGGGTTTAGGGTTTAAGAAATTTAGGGTTTGAAGGTCATGATCTCTCGGAAACTCCCTTATATCAACCCTTGTGGTAAGCCCTACAGTCAACCCGCAAAGTCGCCCTGTGCAGGAACCGCATAATTCAAGGAATCCGGGTCTGGCTCTGTAAATTTAGCCCCTGCACTTAGGGTTTAGGGCTTATAAGGGTTTAGGGTTCAGGGTTTTAAGGTCTCTAAACTTAAACCCTAAACCCTAAACAACCCCTCCTGAACCCTAAGAGGAACGCCATTACGAGGAACCCTCGCCTAATCATTAAGGCCCGTATATAAAGACGTAAACTGCAGCCGAGTGGACAGCGCGGTGCGCATGTCACGCTGCCACTGAGGAGACTCTGTGGAGCCCTGGGTCAGAGAATAAAGTTCTAGCTGTCCCATAAAAGCTAAATGTTAATCTTTGGGATATTACATACCTTAATCCACCAGAACCTACTTTTTTGTAGGGTCCCTATAAAAGCCATATTACGGTTTGTGGTAGGGGCCTGCGGAGAGGTGGGTTTTGGTAGGTTAAGGTAGGGATAATACAATCCCACGAAGATACAAGGTTGCATAGCCCTGGAGCAACCGAGGCTTGGAGAAACGCGCTGCTGTCGACCACAAATCCTCCCAAAACCCTGAACTCGTAACCCGAAACCGGAAAACTCAAGCCTGGGTCAGGAAGGAGACCACATTCCTGGAGAAGGAAATGCCATGCGTACAGCCAGAAGCCTGAGCAACAGGAGTCATCAAGGCTGTAGGGGTCGGTTTGCTTTTCCTTTACCCCAATCAACCTACCTGTCTTCGGCTCCTGATTGTGTTTCTTCTATATGTCACTAAAACGGTAGGATTTATTGGGTGCAGGTTGGTCTTCAGGCTTTAAACATGCCTCGCAGACTCCACGCAGGCTTGTCCGGGCCCTTTCAAGACCTGTTACAGACCGTTTGAGGGTTCACCAAGGTTTAGGGCTTAGTGTAGGGCCCTTAACAATTAGAATAGGGTTTTGGGGTATATTATGCTCGAATTATAACACCCAAAATACTGTTGGTAATTATTTAGGCTTTTAAATTATGGGGTTTAAGGTTTAGGGTTCAGGGTTTCGGGTTCACGGCTTGCGGAGCTCTGGAAGGGTTTGAAAGTTCCCAGAGAGCCTATCAAGTAAAGAATATGCACTAATCGGGTTTAGGGTTTAGGGCTTAAAGGGATAAGCATGATTATATTGGGTTTCTTGTCACTTAAAGGATAATCTTTAACTAAGGGCTACTAGGCCCTCTGGGTTTGTGCGTCTGAAATCTCAGGTGCCTACTTAGGTTCATGTTCCGCGAGGGGCTCCGCAAGAGCTTGGAGTATAGAAGTTCCATCACTATAGAGGTCTTAATGGTGTAAACTTGAACCCTAAACCGCCTAAACCCCACTTGGAGGACGATGGGACGCAGTAAGAAAGGTTTTTATAAGTCCCTTAATCGGATTATAAGCAACTATATAAGTATACTTACCTTACTTAAAACCTTAGTTACTAAGTCATCCTTTAAGCAACCCCAAACCCACCCTTCTAGGGCCCTTGCAGATTGCTTTTGGGAACCCTGTAAGGAACGCTATAGTACACTCAAAAGGAACCCTAAACCCTAGAAACTGCTGTTGATGATAACAATCCTGCACTACCTTAAGGACCCTAGACTATGGGAATTATGGTATATTCCTTCTTATTATGGGTAATGCGGGAACCGTAAGTCCCATGATCCTTTCATTATGCTCACTGACTAGCAGCACCGTGGCGAGGCTTCTCTGGCTGGGACCTCGTCAGGAAGCGTATTCCCGTTGGTCCCGCCATCAGGCAGGGCCCGTAGCGTTAGGGTTTAGGGGAAAGGTTGTTTATTCTTTTGGGTGTAGAGTTTAGGGTTTAGGGTCTATACAATGACAACCAAACCTAAAACACCCAAAGTCCGCAAAACCCAGCTACCAGCCGAACCACGAACCGTAGTTCATGAAGAGGTCACAGGAACCCCCCTCAGAAAAAAAAACGTGATAGAAGCCTTCTGTGGAGCCCAATAAGTACTCCGCTATGTCTCAACACAGACACACACACACACTTCCAGCCGAACCACGAACCGTAGTTCATGAAGAGGTCACAGGAAAACCCCCCCCAAAAAAAAAACGTGATAGAACCATTCTGTGGAGCCCAATAAGTACTCCGCTATGTCTCAACAGACACACTTCCCGCATGCGAAAAAGCACATAAACACGAAGTTGCAGCACCGGAGCAAGAAAAAACCAACCCATCATCCATAGCTAGCATCTCACGTAACTGTCTACGTACCTTTACCTTTAACCCTAAACCCTGAATTGAACCCAAAAACAGTAAATGCTGCCAACGAAACGGTGTCATCCTGCTCCTTGTCGAACCATACTTGCGTGTTGATGAACCGTTCCGGGAGGGCCTGGATGCATGTTTATTTTATTTTATTTTTATTTTTATTTTTTTTTGGGGGGGGGTCTAGTGCTGTTGAGTTGGAAACGGCTGGTTCGACCCTAAACCCTAAACCCTAAACCAAAAGCCCTAAACCCCAAACCCTGCTTCGACTTTGTAGCTTTTGGACTTAGCGTTTTGGGCGATGGCTACCCGCACCCCCAAATCTGCAGAAGAATTGCCTTTAATATGTGTCGGGCCATTCTGTTGCCTACTTTTTTTGGGGGTGGTTCGGTAGGAGTAAGCTCTTCGGGGTTCGCACGAGTGCTCCGAGGGTTCAGTTCTAAAAGGGCGTGCAACGGTTTCCTTGAACCCTAAGGGTCCATGTACCTAAATAGTATGTAATTACTCTGGCCTTGAAGTAGTCCCTATCTTGGTGCTTTTGGGCCAGAGTCTCTCCTGTTCGGGTACATGGACCCTTCGGGGAAGGACTCAATGCCCTGACGGCGGCATTTGCCCAATACTCTCCGCAGGTCGAAAGCACTGGACCCGAAACCAAATGTCCCTGAAAATAACCAACAGAAGAATCACAACCCTAAATGTCCAAGTACCCACATAGTATATACTTGGGCCAGAAAAAGTACCTACCTAAATAAGGACTACATTAAGGTCAATGTATGTATGAATATATATATATATATATATTGTATATGAATACATGAGCCCTTCGAGTGACATCTCTAACAGAATGCGCAAGGACGTCACCTCTGCAACTTCGACATCTAAACCCCTCGTCGTACTTGGCAACCCCTTCTTCCGTAGACTCCTGAAACAACTGAGGGTGTGGGGGCCATGCTTGAAAAGTCCTCCGTCCGAACAATAAGTGGCAATTTGCCTAAGCAGTCTAAACAAACAAGTATGTATATATATATATATATACAATACATACATAATTAAATATATATATATATAATATGTATATACGTATACACAAATGCCTTACATGACTCTAAAAACATACATGCATACTTGGTTCGGTTCGCTTATGCAACACAAAGAACTTATTGCTGCGCTGGCCGGGCCACGTAAAATGCACTTCGTTATACTCCGAGTCGTCCGCCGACTATAGACAAACTAATGCGACTAAACTTTCACCCTGCTGATGCACTGTCAGGAATGTCAAGGGTACATCCTAGATAAATACATCACACAATCACAACCAAGCTTTACTACTTCCGCCTGAAATGTTGCAAGAATCCGAAGAACATCTTGCATCCACCGTATTAGACAGACAAGAACCGTATAAATGCACCTAAAGCCAAACTGACTAATCTGCACAACCTGAACCCTATAAACCCTAAACCACTATACATCCTACTTGGAGGATCATGGGACTTAGAAAGTAAGGCCAAAGGCACCTCAATTAAGGCTATAGGTAAGTATACCTTACTTGTAATCCCTAGCTACTAAACCCCATGATCTTTAAGTACCGGTAAGACCCTCCTCGTTATAGTAGCCCTTTCAGGAACCCCTTTAAGGAACCCTAGTTACTAAGTCCCATGATTTTTTACGTGCGGGATGGCCTCCTTCAGCACTTCCGCTGCTTGGGCACCAGCATCCTCGAGAGATATGACGCTCCCAGAGACTCCAAAGCCCCTTAAGCAAGGAATATGCCTTAAATTCTTGAAGGGTTTCTAAACGGATCCATAAGGGTTCTATAATAAGGGAATTAAGGAATATGCCCGTAAATCAATGTAGGAACCATAAGATGATGTAAGGTAGATTCCTTAATTTAGGGGTTTGGGAGCCTCTGGGTTCGTGGCTTGGGGTCTTAGTTTCAGGGTTTCGGTTTTCAAGGCTCATAGTCTATAATAGTAGGCCTTAGAAGGGATCTTTTTAAGGGATGTGTACGGGTGGAGGTTGTATTTGGGTTCTTATCAGGCCTTTTGAAGGCTTATTCAGGGCTTTGGGTGGAGGATTGAAGCGCTTGGGGTCTTGGTAGGGGTTTGGGTTGCAAGGTTCGGCGTGTCAGGTTCTAGGATTTAGGGTTTGGGGTCTGGGTGCTTACTTGTTGCCGTCAGAGGGTTGGGGTCTGCCGGAGCTACATGTAGGTTTGTATGTGCGTTTCCTGGTGATGTAGACATGGCCTGAAGTGCTCGGATTCTTGCGGATGCTGACATACTGTCTCGCCACGTGGATACGTGTCTTTATCATACCCAGCGGGTTTAGGGTTTAGGACCTCGAAACCAGGCACCCCAAGGCATGCACGAGTCTGCATAAGAACAATACAGGTTGCACAGCTGAACGCCGTCCTACCAACAGGTCGCGCCGCTCTACCTTTTGTTCTTGGCACATGTCTAGTTACTACTCTTGGGCCCTGGATGCCAAAAGCGCAGATTAGGCAAGTACATCCACACTACTTGCGCTTTTACATGTGCAGAAGATGCAAACTAAACCACAAGACATCCTGTCAGAGCCGATATATAGTGGTCAGCGTGGTCACAATTGCAAGAGGAACAGGACAAAGGGAAGGAAATGTCGTAGAGTCGTAGCAGCGGCAGTAAGAATGCACCGCCACCACCATCACCAACACCGCCACTACCACCACCACCACTACCACCACCACCACTACCACCACCGCCGCCGCCACCAACGCCACCAACACCACCACCAACAACAACAACAACAGCCCAATGTTAGCCCGCTCACGTAATATGAGAGCTTCCTGATCGAAAGACTTTATACCACCAACATGTTCGCCACCATCATCACTTTCGGCATGGCCATGAACATAATTATCGCGAACCACGTCAGCAGAACTAGGATTGCCACAATCTGCATCATCCGCCTCGTAGCGGCCGTCGTCACCATTAGCTTGTTCATCGTCATTGCAAACATCATCGTCATCATCACCATCGTCATCACCAAAAGCATGTCCACAATCACCGCCAACAAGAAGAGCAACAATAGCAACAAACGTAACTTCAATTTCGTCATAATCGTTGTGCTCGTCCTCCTCTTAATCCTAAATCCTAAACCCTAGACCCTAAACCCCATACCAGGCTTTTCAGGAATGCGAGGGTGTCCTGGTAGTGCAGGTAGAAGTCCCACTCGCAGTCCTCGAAGTTGACAAACCTTTCGGATGTAGGGTTTAGGGGTTTAGGATTTGTTTTGAACTCCTTTTCGCGACTGCAAGACTAGCCTTCAGACGCAAGGACTTAGAGTCCAGTGGTTTAGGGATTCAAGGCTGGTGGGTTCAGCTTCGTCCTGCACCTTTCGACGACTGTCGCCCCGACTCGGGCATGGCAGTCCATGATCCCCGCTGAGCCCAAAACCCAAAGTCCTAAACACTATAAACCTTAAACGAAAAGTCCTGCGTAAACCCTGAAACAACAGGCCTAAGTACAACCTATCCCCTAAACCCATTGATCCTAGTTTTGGAGTATGTAGGGCCCTTAGCGTCTTGCGTTTAGATTTTTAGGTTTCGGGTTTCGGGCGTAGGGTTTAACCCACGTACAGGGTTCGGATTTGGGTTTCCCTTTAAAGGCTGAGGATTTGTCTTGGGTCTGTACGTGTCCGGGAAAGTTTGAGCCGTCTCACTGGCATGTAGTGGCTGTTCAAAACTATGGAGCGTTCTTTGACTTGGCTATATGACAAAGCTAAGCATATCCCATCGTACTAGAGAATCCAAACAACCAAGAAAATCAAACGGCACATGTATCCTGAATCAGTTTTTGTTGCCTGCCTGGTGTAGGGCTCAAGGTGTTTGGCCTAGCCCCAGCAGCCAACATGTGCTCTTGAATGTCCACATCAGTATGTGTGTACATATGCAGATATACTATGTTCCATTTTCTTGTGTGTGTGTGTTCTATATTATGTGCTTAGACATGCGTAAGTATCCAATGCACATCGATCTGGAATAAATGTATACATTCAACTTACAGCACATGAAGCTCAATCGCAGGCCCTCACAAAGTCCTGATACTCCAAGCCCTAACCCTGAAAACCAGATGCTTAAACCCTAAACCCTAAACCCTCGGGGCATGCATTCGCTTGCCAGGTGAAAGTTTGAGGCTAAGGCGAGTGACCCGCAGTAGGGCGAGTTTGCAAGCTCAACCTAACCCCGAAACCCGTTGAATCCTCGGAAAAAGGGGGGGGGGAGGTGCATGGAATGTGGGGTTTTAGCGTCGAAGCAGAGCAGCTTGAGGTTCTGGACTTTAATCTAGGGTGGAAACCCTGGTGACCTCCAGCACTCCAAGCCTACACTTATACTCTGCAAAGAAGCCGGGTGCTGCAAAGGAGAACTTCGGAGAAGGGGACCGGCACAGACACTGAATACTCAGAAGGATGCTGGGTTTAGGGTTTAGGGGTTTCGGGTTTAGTAGCTATGTATAATCAACCTTTAAAGGAGGTACCCCAAATTGTACCCCTTGGACCCCGAGCCAAAATCGATGTGGTGGCAATATCAGTATCCCTGTGTAATGTAGAAAAAGGAACACTTTCTAGGGAACACCCAGTAGGCAGACCCTCAAAACTCTCCGAGAATCACGGGATCTTGGTGTTTGAGCTCGCATGCTGATGAGCCACCGCACATCATCATCCTGGCAGTGGTTTAGTGTTTGCCCTTTATAATCCTGCACCCGAAAACCTGTAAGCCCGAACTTTAAGCTCTGCAAGCCCTAGGCCCTAGACCAAGGGAGGGGTCTGCTGCGCAGTGTCTAGGGCTTCCTGTGAAGCCCGAAGCCCTAACAGTCTGATTATCATCCTAGAAAGGGGTTTGTTGCTTTTCGACTCGTCCCCTAAACCCTCAACCCTAAAGCCTTAAACCCTCCCTCTGGCTGAGGGCCTGAACTCCAAACCCCAAGCCTTGCACCCAAAACTCCGCAGAAGACCCCAAACTCCAAATTTCTGGGAGGGGTTGTCTTCACGAACTCAGCCACTCCGGCATGTCTTCATTCATGATGGACCACGGCCATTCTGAAATTCTATAAGGGCGGTCTTACCCTTTATACGACCCGACTGAATACAACAGGGCTGGGGGGGTGTACGTTGTACATCATGCCTTAACAGCCCTAAACCTAAACCCTAGACACTGTCAAGAATCATTCAAACCTCTATACATCCGGAAACCTCCCCGAGTTCTCAGACGTCCTCAGGCTCAAAATCCTAAACCCTAATTTCGAAAAAACAAAGCCCTGAAGCCCTAGAGCAAAAGACTAAACCCTGAATCCCAAACCTTTAACCCTCAAACCCTAAACCCTAAACCCTTAGACTCTAAAAACCCTTAAACCCTAAACCCTTAAACATTTAAACCCTAAACCCTGTAGTTCTCCTTTCAAGGAACCTCTAAACCCTCAAACACCCTTCCCCACCGCCCAGGAATCTGAGCACTTAAAGGATCATGGGGCTGAGTAAGTAGGGTTAATTCAAGTAACTATACTTATTTACTTATAACCCAAGTGAAGGGACTTATAACCTTACCTACTAAGTCCCATGATCCTCCAAGTCTAGATCCCTTCAGTGGAACCCTTGTCGATCCCGCTTACTCCTATGGATCCTATAAGGACCCGAAACCCTATTCCCCAGCCCTGTGAGACCCTGTGAGCGGTTCCCTACTATCCACCCAAACCCCCGCTTTTTGATCTTTGGGGGGGTATGGCAAAGCAAGGTCCTTTCTATAAGCGCCGGGCTTTCACGTGTCTTTCGTCTTCCAGGGTTTAGGCCTAACTCAACCCCAACAGTAAATAAGAAATACTGGCCCAGCACCTATAACAAGGCTACTACTCTGCTACTCTTGAAGTCCTGGTATGTATAGACTACATGGGCACAGAAAGCCTAAACCCTGATCCCTAAACCTCCAGCCCAAGCGAGCCTCATCCAGCGCCGACGCGCTCTTGCTCAGCGCCTGGCAGTCAAGTGGGAGTTTCAACCAGTTAAGGGCTTACTGAAAGGATCCATTAGGGTTCCTGAAATGCGGTTCATCTGGCTTCGGCATGGGATATATTAGGGTGTTTGGGGGTTTAGGGTTTACTATGAGGTAGTTGCGCTTATAATTACTCATAGTAATTACAATTAATGAGGTGCCTATAACATTATTTACCAAGTCCCCTGCTTGGGGTGAAGTGTTTAGGGCCGCAGGGGTTTAGGGTTCACGGTTCGCGGTTTAGGGCCTAGCTTCAAACAGTGATGGAGTGTTTTGCGGATCCTTACACTGATATACTGAATACCGTAGTATATTTCAATGCTCTATCTTCTGAAACTGCTGAGAAAGGCTTAGGCCTTCAAAGAACGTGATAAAACGCTACCGGGATCAACCGGAAAGCCCGTCTTGGTTCTGCATACTCGAGTTTGGAAAATGTTTTACCGCAAGAGGCAGGGATTCTGTAATGCGGGTTTAGGGTTTATTAGAGCGCTTGATGGCATTGCAATGTGGGCTTTGCCCATAAACCCCAAACCCTAAACCCATAAACCCTAAACCCTATACAGGTAAGGATTCTGGGTTCTTGTAGTCTCGGGGCTTGGGGGAAGATCCAGGGGCTGGGCCCAGGTCCAGGATTGTTGCTTTCATGTTTGATGTAGAAACCTGATTAATTAAGAAACCCTGGATCCCTATTAGGGTTCTGTACATGAATACTATTTGATGGAGGAACCTGATTAAGAAACCCTGGATCCTTATTAGGGTTCTGTATACGAATCCTACTCTTTTGGGGTTTCAGGGCCAGGGTTTCTTAATCAGGTTTCTACATGATCAGGCATGGCTTTCATGTTTGATGTAGAAACCTGATTGATTAAGAAACCCTGGATCCTTGTTAGGGTTCTGTACATGAATCTTACTCTGTTGGGTTTTTAGGACCAGGGTTTCTTAATCAGGTTCCGATACTTTATAAGGCATGGCTTTCTTGGAGCTGCATTCCATAATAAGTCTACCGCGGGGGTCTTCGTGGTGCAAATGTGTGAACCCGTTGTAAGTTCTACCTTGCGCCCCAACAACTCCCGTTTTAAGGACCCCTGTATGCGAAAGAACTCAGGATAGAGAAGCCGAGCAAATTAGGACACTTGGGGTTCAAACAACTCTTAACGGAAGCAGCCCCTTGGCCCCCTGCGATCGGATTGATCTGCACATTCTGCAAAGATGGCCTCACGTGATCCACACCGAGTTTGCGGGCTTACCTTGTGCAAGGGTTTCTTGTTTCCTAAATTCGACCGGGAACCCTAAACCCTAAACCCTAAACCCCTAAACCCTAAACCCTAAACCCTGAACCCTTAACCCCTAAACCCAAAACCCTAAACCCTATAGGTTAAAAGGCAAAGGTATAGGGATTTCGGGTTCGGGTGT